ACTTATGGCAGCATTTCGAAATATAGAGATCTACAAATGGCTACACAAGTTCCTAAAAATATATGAGACATTCACAGGCAGGAAAGCCACAATAAATCCTCTTTAGTGAGTTGGGCTCTTGGTATAGCTGTGTCAGATTAGCAGCAGACCCGGTGGTCACTATAAACTGCTACCACGAGTACAGCTGCATATACTCAAAGCACAGTATAATATCTCTCCGGTTTGCTTAAAAGTAGCTGGTGAACGTTGGTATTACCAAGTTTTATTGCACCTGCCCTCCGTAGATTGCACCGGTGTTCAATATAACATTTATCGCAACAAATTTCAAAATGCTCTTTTATAAAAAGCATTGGTTGCCAATCCGTTTGCAAGGCTGATACGAGCCCATCAACTCCGACATCACTTGGAATGTGTTCCGAAACTCGTCAATGTTGACATAGCAACCCTTGGATACAAAGAAGAAGAAAAACAGATGTAAGAAAACGTTAACCTAAACCGTAGATAACATTTTAACAATGAGGCTTGATTATGAAGATCGCGGGGAATGTTATCAGCCTCCGAGATCTGCATAAAGCTTGCCTCCTGGTAGACTTCCTTCAAAGCATTAACTCTGCGTTTTACAAAATTAATATTCTTTGATTAATGATGTATACCACTTTTTATTTCCTTTTTTTTGCACTATGCACTATTGCTTTTCTTTCTTTTTTTGTCTGTAATGTAATAAAGTGTTGAAATTTATATAAAAAAGTATTGGCCTATTTTTTGGCCAGTTGCAGGATATAAACAGATGATTTTTTCTTGCAGATACTGCCGACCTAAAAAAAAAGATAAAACCCATCGTGCATTATATGTATTTTTGCATTTCTTCCGTTAAGTTTTAGTCACGAGCGTAAACGCCATTATTTTAGTTCAATCAGGCATAAACAGCTAAGCTGCCTCGCCCGGAAACGAGGTGGATCGATGAGTTATTAGGCAATACTAGAAACCCAGAAACCCAGATGGTGTATTAAGGGTTTCTGGCAATACACCATCGAATCGACGGACTTTCTTCCAAATATTGTAAGCATCAGCTGGCGGGTTACGGAGAATTAGCCGGGGGATTGGAGCGAAATAGAAACGGCGAAATATTTTGAAAGATGTATAATATGCGGACGTTCCACTAAGGCCGGTTAGCAATTCATGCAAAAGTTACAAAAGATTTGGCGCTTGTAAAAATGCCTTGAATGAAGCAAATGCCAATCAACTTCCGTGTACTTTGACCACAGTAACTTGTGCACAATGGTGATGTGATACATCAAGCTACTGATTAATGGCCTTTTACAAGCGTTCAGATACACCCCTTGCTGTTTACTTTTTTTTTCTCCTCACTATTCTTTGCACCGTCCCCATTATCGGAACTCCTGGACAGGATCAGTTAAGAGTAAACTAAATATTTGTTATGGTGTTTATTTGCAATTGTTGTAGTTACTAAGAGAAGTACATAAATAATTCGAAGAGGGCAGACAGCAAATTGTTGGTCGAAGGAAACAATAATATTTTTATTTGAAATCTAAATATTTCTATTTGCTATTTAATATGTTTCAGGGCATTTCCATTTTCTGGGAGCAGTAAGGAAGGTAAGCAAGAATAGTGTCGTTAAAATAAAAACATACCTTTAAAAATCTGACTCCACCATTAAGCTTGAATGAATTTCGACCATGAAGAATGCGGCGGTTGTTAAAACAAATTAAGTCTCCTGGCTGCAGGGTCACAATTTTCTAAAATACCAAAGCAGTCTTTCTGTGACCAGTTGAAAAATCAGATTTACATCAAAGTTGCTCGGGACAAATATGATGCCAAAAAAGGTGCAAACTTGGAGAAAATCAGGGACAAAAATGCGGCAAAATTGTTGCCTTAAATTTTTGAACGGACGACTTGGCTACCGAGGAGGAAAATTTCCCGTTTTTTAATTTTATTTTTACGCAGCTTCACGGCTACGTAAATGGCGGTGAAGTAAAACTAAGCTTATTTTAAGTCTAGAGGATGCGTTTTTTTGTGAGAATCCAAAACGGATCTGTGATCTCAGATCATATGGATTCTTCACTACCAAAAAACGGAAGATCCGAAAATGGATCATTTACCACGACAACGGCATGTGCTCGTGCTCCTCGTGATGAGAAAAATAGAGAAGAAGAAAAAAACAGACTGATTCTCGCGGCGAAGACAAGAAGGAAAGCAACATAAGCTACATATGAATATACTCTCGAATAGAATATACTCCTTAGTAAAATTATAAGAACTTAAAAACAGTCTACGATTCAACAAATAGATTCCATATGTTGCCGTGCGTCTGTTCAGTAATCGGTCACAGATGACGTCAAGATGTGGTACACGAGCCGCAAGCGAGTGTGTCACTGATGTTTTTACCACATTTTGACGTCTTCTGTGATCTATTACTGAACAGACCGACGGCAACATTAAATCTATTTGTTCTATACAGTGATCAGAGAAGAAAAAGGACCGATACACATACCAGCCTCGTACCGCTTGACTGTTCGAGGATTTGTGCAACTTTAAGCATTTTTCAAGTCCCAAACGTTACTTTTCGTCTCTGCTTCTTCTTTTTTCCTTTATCTTACTTGTAAAGGTTTCTTCGAAACGTGTTTTTCACGTCTTCACTTTCTCAACGCAGAATAATGGCGAAAACTTTTTGTAAAACAGCGAGTCTCTCATAGCGATGTCACACGATCAGCTATTGTGAAGTTTTCTGGCAGTTTAGGCATTCTCAAGTTGTCAAGCACTCTTTTTGCCTCCGTTTCTCAGTTTTCTTCATGTAAATAGCATTTAAACTTTTTTCGAAGCTGTCTCTCGCTCTATCCTAAATAAACTCACAAACATCTTCAAAACCGCGCGCCATGTTGAGCAAAACAAAGAAAACAAGTTTTCGGCGACGTCATCTATGTATCTGTACTCTAATAGGTCATGGGCAACGACCAATCACAGCGCGCGTAGCATTCGCATCATTGTGTAATTAACAAAAAGATTCCATGTTGCCGTGCTTCTGTTCAGTAATAGATCACAAATGACGTCAAGATGTGGTAAAAACAAAGAAGTGGCACACGAGCCGCAGGCTTATTCGGCAAACCGCTTTTCAACAACACTTTTTTCAAACTTTTTCCCCAAATAACGCTCAGATTGGATTTGATCCGAAGAATCCACCCAGAGTGTGGAATTTATAGATTCATGATCCGTTTTTGGATACCGAAGCCCGGATTTTTTTTTTCCCAAAAAAACGCATCCATGTTTTCATCGTTTGTAACACGCTTCGGTCCGATGAGGGAATTTTTATGATAAGTTGCCTCTTCTAAAAAGTTTTTAAAATCCTAGTTCTCCGCTGTTCGTAAAATTCAATTATACTTTTAATTTTCTCAAAACCTGGTAGAACATAATATTTCCAGATGTGTCATCAGTGTTTTCTACTAAGGCTTTGTAAGCATTTTCGAAACACAACATTAACATCGCGCGGGTTGCTTTAACTTATGCTGTCTTTCCCGATACAATAGACAAAAATTTCTAAAACATATTCTTGAACTTCAATGGGTAGAATTTTAATAAAACTGATAATTAGAAGTGTCACCCTCGATTCTATCGCCTTCGATGGGTCGGCGCTTATCTATCTGCTGATAAAAATCTCGATTTTGCCTTCTAAATGTTAATTGCCACCCATTGTATGCGGTGTTTACAGCTAGCTACCCACGGGGCAATATGAATTCAAATTGAACACCGAAAAAGAAAGGCTGAGGTCTTAAGCACTAGATTAGATTTAACCCGCATATCCATGAACTGAATAATGACCGCAGTTATTTTTCATACCTTAATTGTAGATTCATCAAGAAGCTTTGTAAACCTCCGATATGCATTAAAATAAGGCTTAACATCTGCCTATAAATGAACAAACAAGGTCAGTTGATTGTGGCTGTAAGAATGATAGGCAAGAAGAGGGAAAGATTGCCTGACATAATAAGTAAAAAACAATGTTAAAATATGCTCTTAAGGATCTGAAGGTGTACTGCCCATCGTAGTTTTTGATTGCGCAAACCTTGCCAAATGTATTGACGCTATTCTACTGTGCGGGCCTCGCCTCGACCAAGGACCTTTTGAAGGAACACGTTGTGCCGGACATTAGAAACCAAATAGTACGAACTATGGTAATGCCAAACATACCTGTCATAGCCGGTAGGATTTTCTACTTGAGGTAAATATATTATAAAAAAGACTTCTAGAGGACGACTACGTGAATCAGTTCTCAGTTCTAAGAAGTGCGCGGGCGTGAACCCCGGGGCGTGAACCCACAGTCAATTTTGGCGGAAAAGCGCGATAGTCGTTGGGATTCTTCTACGGGTTTTAGCGAAAATGTTGCAGTGACGAAAACAGGTTACTTAAATATTATATGCCGAGTTTTATCATTTTGTGATCGTGAGAGGGATTAATCTCCTTCAATCAACAACCGTGTTAACTTTTCTGGATTGAAAACAGTATAATGATAGAAGCTCTTCGCAGTGTGAATTTTTTAGAATACACGAGACAAGACGCAGACGTCGTCGTCTTCTAAAGGTCTCTACTATCGTTTAAGCAAATTTATTGAGTTTAAGTAACTCGTTACAGTATATATTTCACTGAAAAACCTGAGGCCGGCGGTGCGATCATTTTACGCTGCCCCCTCTCTCAACCATGAGCAGTGCTCCGTTTTACGGGTATATTTAAAGATATTTAAAGCTACACGGAAAGGAAAGAAGTCGAAAAATGAATTTACACCTGGTAATCAAACGTCAAACCTCCCGCACATAAGGCGGTGCTTATCGTCTTAATTCCTCCTTGGGTTCGCATGGAAAAACCAAGGGGATTTTAGAGTATAGTTCCAAACTGAATCTATATTGCTAAATTTTATTTTTTAGTACCAAAAATGTTCTGGTGGCCGTCATTAAACACACAACATTTTCTCTTCTGAGTGGGGACCTTGCTTATGTGTTCATGGTGGGAACTACTATGGCCGGGGTATAACACTGATGACCCTCTCTTTTTGGCGTGGGGATGCTCACCTCTGGTACAGATAAAGGACCCTCAAAAGCTGGAGACCAGTTGACAGCTACAATCTAAAAATAACCAAGAAAAAAGGGCAGCAGTCATTATAAAAGTCCTATCATGCGACAGTTCCTGAAGTTACAGTACTTTCCACTAAAGAAATGCAAAGAACAATAATAACAGAAACGTGTTGTGTGAAGATGGACCCAAAGAACCAGCCTGTTGGGTCTGGGTTTTTGTTACAAACATCTCTTGAAATTCAGCAATTCCGTTTTGATACTGCTGGGCTTCAGTATAGGTAAATAGAAGATACCATTTCATTGTATCATTTAAACGTAAGTATTATTTTCAAAAGCAACTTTTTTATTTCTCTTTCTCTGTCAAATTAAAATTCGCAGACATGAAAATGTGGTTGACTGGCTGGTTATTTGCTTAATCGAATTCCATAGAGTCACAGTCCAAAGTCCATGAAAGTTCTACTAAAATTTTTGAAACCTACGGATACTCTATGGAATTCTATGGAAATCCATGGACACTCCGTGGAAGCTGTCAATGGGGTACAAGTAAAACGAGTGTTTGTTTTAAGGTTCTGAATGAATACGCCCTAACGTTAAATAGCATAGAACCCTCTCGCGACTCCATCCCACTTGAACCTAATTTCTAGTCACATTTGGAAAATAGAGTGCCATAGGAAGGCACTACATGAACCATTGATTCGCGCTTACGTAGCGAAGCGTTACTTAAATTTGAAGGCTACAACGATGTACAGATAACCACTTTATTTCTGAACTGGTTGCCAACGGTAACTTAATCGGCAACAGTCAAACTGCAAAGCAAATGAAAGATTTGCGTTTTAAGTATGAAACTGCACTTAAAGACTGAAATATTCGCAGCGAAATGCTACTTACAATTCTGTTGGGTAATCCACACATCTTAACACGGCTCTTTACATTATCTTTCAACGGTTGTGTCCGGTTGATTGCAAGGCGAGTCTAATTAAAAATGCATTACGCCTATTTTATACAAAAATGCTAATTCGTCGCCAGGTCCTTCGCGACTGCATTTTTGGCGCCAAATCGGTACAGCTACACAAGCGCAAATCAACCATACTGTTGGTATTGTTGGTACTGTTGATTAACTTTGTAAATATTTAACGGGTACCTACAGAGTAAAAAAATAACTCATTGTACCTCATTGTCTGGATTAAGAACAACATGTGGTCTTTTGTACACTAGCTTGACAGGATAATCCCTGCAACATAAAGAGGAGAACAACAACGAAAAGCTTAGCTCATTAAAAAAAGTTTTCTGGATGTCAGATTAAGCTTATAGTGTGTTAGATTATTCCTATAGACATTTTTAGTGGTTGTGATAAAGATGAAAATTTAAAAGTAAGAACAGATACCTTTCAAAGTGTATTTTCTGAAATGTTGCTGGTATACGCACAAGATTATTGAAGTCATCAGGAAACTGTTTTCTTAAATCCTTAGCAACCTCAAAAGCATCTACAAATATGCTCTCGCCTCCTTCAACTTCTGGATCAAATCTAAGCATAGACAAATGGCATTAATGTTCCGGCTTTAGCTTTATTGAATTCGATGCGGTGACTCAAAACGATGACAGAGGATGAAACAGGACTTGCTTCCCAATGATATCAACCCCTTCAATACCCACCTAGCCCATGAAACTGAGTTTTTACACATCACTGGGGTCTACGCCTCATGCTCTTCCAACGAACAGCGGCGTGAGTTCTTTTACGTCCCAAAAGAATGACAACCGTGAAAGAGCTGTGAGACGGATCCTACGGTTTGTCGTCCTTATCAGAGAAGACTAGAATCAGGTCTAACCATTTGTAGATGTCACAGCAAAGGCAGCACATTCTCCTCAGTTATTTTGAGACCCTGTGTGTTGGTAGGGCCGGATTTGAACCCGCGACCGGCTCCCACTCGCCAGGGCCCGGTTGCATAAAACGTCCGTAACAACTACGGGTACACGTACGTGCACTCGTAACTTAAGTAAGTTGCATGAAATCACTTAAGTGGTCCACTTAGGGAATTCACTTAAGTGGTTGCACTTACGATTTTCGTAAGTGTTCACTTAAGTGTCGTTTATGCAACAGAAATTGCGGGTGTTGCATAAAACTTTTTTTACGGGAAAAATAGCACGTAAATTTACGGGACCTATATAGGTCCCGTATCGTCACTGTTTTTACTAAATTTAACGAGATCTTCTACTGAGAAGTTTAAAGAAGTATTTTTCTTCACGTAATTCGTTCTAATGCGCTTTGTTAACCTCTGATGTACACTTTTGTGAAAAAAGAAGAAGAACTATCATTTTCAGTAGATATTGAAGAAAAATAACGTTTGCATGCAAATTTCATTTTTTGAGAGGCTTAAAAGTGTTGGAAACGAATTTTACTTTCTTTACACTCACCGATGGTTAGCTTAAAAAAAAAGAGTGAATCGTTAATAAAGTACTATATCAAGGTTACGTGTGCCCTTAAGTGAGCCCGTAAGTTACCACGTAAAACAGAAACTTACGAGAGTGCTAAGTGCGTTTCATGCAACACCCGTAAGTGTACCCATAACGGATTCGTAAGTGACCTACTTAAGTGAGCACTTAAGTGTAGGTTTTATGCAACCGGGCCCAGACCGGCACTTATCCAATTGAGCTAACTGGGCGGCGGCATTATAGCACTTGTTAGAGGACGCAGTGGAACGAAGTGTCTCGGTTGCAATGCACCCGTTAAAGTTTCTGAACAATGATTTAGAATTTAGCTTTATACCTTAGGCAGTGAAGAAGCTGAAGTCCAGGTGGAGACTCATAATACATCAGATCCATGTGCAGAGCCAATTCAACATCAGAATACGCAATATTGATTGGATTAGGAACACTCAGCACATTAAATGTCTAAAAAAGACAGTACCACTTAACGCTGAGATCATCATCAGCCACTATAACCACTCATGGAATATCGCTTTTCAATGCAGTTATTAGCACTAACCAATCCATAAATGGTTTCCTGAGGAGGTCCCATTCTTCTAGCAACCTGATGGATAAAAAAAGAAAATTTTAAACAATATTCCCCTGGGCCCGGTTGCATAAAACGTCCGTAACAACTACGGGTACACGTACGTGCAATCGTAACTTAAGTCAGTTGCATGAAATCAATTAAGTGGTCCACTTAGGGAATTCACTTAAGTGGTTGCACTTACGATTTTCGTAAGTGTTCACTTAAGTGTCGTTTATGCAAAGAAATTACGGGTGTTGCATAAAACTTTTTTAAGGGAAAAATAGCACGTAAATTTACGGGACCTATGTGGGTCCCGTATCGTTACTGTTTTTACTAAAGTTAACGAGATCTTTTACTGAGAAGTGAAAAACAGTAATTTTCCTTCACGTAATTCGTTCTAATGCGTTTTCTGATGTACACTTTAAAGCCGACGTTGTGAAAAGATTAAGAAGAAGAATTATCATTTTCAGTAGACATCGACGAAAAAAAAAACGATTGCATGCAAATTTCATTTTTTGGAGAGGCTTAAAAGTGTTCGAAACGACTTAAAACTTTCTTTACACTCATCGATAGTTACCTTTAAAAAAAAAGAGTCAGTCATTAATAAAGAACTATATCAAAGTTACGTGTGCCTTTAAGTGAGCCCGTAAGTTACCAAGTAAAACAGTATCTTACGAGAGTGCTAAGTGCGTTTCATGCAACACCCTTAAGTGTACCCATAACGGATTCGTAAGTGACCTACTTAAGTGGGCACTTAAGTGTAGGTTTTATGCAACCGGGCCCTGGACATTATCTTGCATCAAAATCTATGTGCTACTTTGCCTGACAGCTAACATTTGCACATTTTGTAGAGTCTTTTCGTTTTGATCGGGTGACGTGTTTAATAATTACAGCTTAAAATTCAGATCAAAACTAGATGAATGAACTGTGTCAGAATAGTAGCTCTTGAGAGAATGCATGTTGACTATCTAACTTCAGATATTATGGTAACTATAGCTTCACAAACCTTACGAACAGTTTCCTCGTCATCAATTGGCACTTTTTTTACCAATGACACCCCATGATCACTTAGTTGGCAAAGCATTCTTAAATACAGCAGGAAACACATGATGGTTAGATATTAAACTAACATTAACAGAACGCGATACAAAGATATGGGGGACAAAAGAACGCTCTATACTTAAAATACTATCTGTCAACTAGTGTTGCAAACGTAAAACTGCCTGAACGAATGAGGTCTAGACAAGGCTCCTTGTATATTTACAGTAATTACACTAATGGATTTCCAGTCAATAATTAGTCAATTATCGAGAATCTCATAGATTATACATGGCTTACAAATGTTAAAGAAGAAATAGTGATAGCTTTATTTCTAGAGGGCTTATATCCTGAGCTCAATATTGATTTCAGGGCTGTTAGTGAATTTTATACGGTGCTTGTATTCAACCTGTAAATCAAACAATATATACTTTAGGAATGATGATTACAATCATTTATTGGGTCCTTGATACACACAATAGAGGGAACTTACTTCCAGAGACCTTCCTTAGTTTCCATCATTTCACTATACTTCACCTCTGGAAGGCTGTGCTGTTAAATAGTGATTAAACAGAAGTCTGTTGGAGTCAACATCCTTAGTAGACATTTTGACTGTATGATCACAGTATCATGCCGATACATGTTGACTTATCATGTATTATAACTAAATGTTGTAGTAAAGAGGTTTTGATAATTACAACTTAACAAATGTATTATTGTGAAAGTATAATTTGATAATTAGTGTATCTTTCACTCTTTTTATAAGTTTTATACATCTCTTCGTAGTAAATCAGTAATTTTTCACCTATTCTAAGCTTCTTTGTCTGATTGTTGTCATGAGAGCTAAATACCTGTCCTAAATGTGGCTGTGTCCTTCTCATTTCACTTTGTATCTTCCTTGCTGGTTCAGAGTAACAATTTTCTCTTAGCCATTTTAAGTTAAGCACTCCCTGATGATCATTTTCAAGTTCCCAAGCCAAAAGGAGATTTTGCTTATTTTCTGAAAAAAAAAGAGAAGAAGAAATTAGTAAGCTATTTTAAGACCTTGAGTATTGTTCTGATCCCAAGAATTGAACTTGTGACATCCCACTCTGCAGGTCGGTGCTCTACTGTATAAGTCAATCTATCTGCGGTTAAAATATTCTGTTTTCTACCTATGGATATCGATAATACTTTGTATAACAATAGAAAGAAAAATCACAATCAATTTACAGCTAAGGTTATATTAAAAGGCCCAAGTTAATGATTTGCCTGTCACAACACATTTGAAAAAAAAATGGTGATTGTAATCGAATTTTTTCTTAGCTATAAAAAGGCTGTCTATATGTCTTACTCCATAGTGATTCGTATATGTTAAGAACAGTAAGCATAATAAAGCTGAGGATTTTACTTTAACGGGTTATTCAGTAAACGTCTACAAAAGCCTTGAATAGTACAATGTACGGTACATAATGAAATCAACTTGTTTGAAACTTGTGAGACATATAACAACTGTACCTATATGCTTAATAACTCACGCCCACTTACCGGAAATTGAAAAACTTGATAGTTTTATTGCGTCAGGAAGAGATGAGACATTAATAGTCCTCTGACCACTATTTGATTGCTTGCACTTATCACATTGGCAACAAAGCCGCAGCCAACAACTGTGGAACCTTAAATAAGTTAATGAACAAAAGAATAAGATCGATTTTAAAAGAAATGAACATATTTAATTTTAAACATATAGTATATTAACCAAAAAAAGGGAAATGACTTGTGTAGTTTTCCGAATCTACTGTTAGTTGTTACAGCACGATTAACCTAGTAGCTATTTGAGAACGGAGGTTTTGAAAGTTGTAATCGTGTAAATGTATGTACAGCTGTACGTATAATAATTTTTTTCTGTGAAATCGATATTCATCAATTGACTGTTTAGAATTGACCGTTGGCTTTTGCCAGTGGATCGTTTTAAGGCCTCCACTGAAAGTCACAAAATGATGGGAGGAGGTGCAAGCCCTCCCACAAACAAGCACACCCACACTGACAATGCCTCGTCCTTGTTCTATCATATTTAACTCGTTTTGGTCAGCAATCCAGATCACAAAATATTCCTAGTCATAGCCTTATAGTTGCAACTCCACGGAAATTACCATCTTGTGTAAGCAACCGGGACCACTTTTCAGGGCGAATGTTTTATAATAATACATCTTTTTAGCTTGGAAGTTTTGTTTCCCACCTCAGTTAACGTGATATTCTCAAGGGAGTTTGCCTTTGTCGTTTCGTAAATTGTGCATACATGTGCACATGCATGTACGTGTATAGGACAAAATTTGAAGGAAAAGTTCTTTGCGGTACCATCACGTGGTCTGAAATGGTAAAATAAATTGAGACATACAAGCTGAAAAGGTCTATTTCCATTTTTTGGTTTAAGCCTCTTGTACGCGACGGTTTGACACATGGTGTCCATCGCATGAACAACGCTACTCAACAGACTCAGAGTATACCAAGGACTTTCAGAGACATTACATGTACATGACAACACATATCGTAACTTAAAAATTGCATTCTCTTTTCCTAAAAAATAGATGTGCCGGAACCCATCAAAGACCCCTGGTCGCTCTGGTTTTTTCCTTGTACCTTCTCGCATTATGAGCACTTGATCTCTAATGCGGGAAGTTCGAAATAATGGTAAACTAAATTAGCCCATTTCTAACGTATTCATACGTGGATGTGTGTCCGTCCTTCCAATCTATTTGTAAGCAGTTTCCAGATACCAGTGGCTTGACATCCGTCACACTGTAGGTTGACTGCAAACCACAACACAGATACTTCCAAAAATTCGTACTAAAACTAATCCAACGATCGTTTTTTTTTTTCTACAGAACTGTTTGCTTAATCATATTCTTTGCCACTTGTTTTAGTAATTCCAATACCTGGGGCGGGGAGGGGGGGCTACTCCGTTACAAGAGGCTAATAGGGATGTGCCGCTGGACGGGGTTGCATTTTCACGACTGGAGTGACTATAATGGGGTCGCGCAAATTTTCGGATTTTTGGGGTAAGTAGGGATTCGAAATGGGAAGATTCTCGGTTAAAAAATCAGGAAGTTGTTGTTTATTTAATTTAACAATAAGCTCACATTGACCGCATTACATTCCGCCGCTTGAAACCACGTTGATAAGGTAGATGCATAAATAGAAAGTGAGTAAGTTGGGATCGCGAAAATTACATTTTCCAAAAAGTGACTAGGGTGGGGTCTATAATTGGCCAAAAAATAGACTATAATGGGGTAGAGGCTCTGAGAGGCCAGCGGCACATACCCAGCAAACATTAACCCAAGTACCCCCCGGGTTCCAATACGGGCTAAACTTCAAGTACGCGATATCTTCCATGTACGTTTGCAGGCCTGCTGCTCATGTTTTATGGCCTTATTATAACAGTTTTTACCTTAGAAGTTCCCTTTTGCATATAACTTAATATTAAGTAATGGTCCGTGTAAAAGGTAGGCAGGCGAACGGCAAAAGTGATTAAAAGGTGCTAACTTTTAATCATTAATTTCAATTAAATCAAGCGTTCTGATTGGCCGAAATCCAAAAATCGCCAA